CAAACATTTGAACTCAAATCATATCAACGACGAGTCGATGGCCACCGAAGACAACGCCAGCCAATTGTCAGATCAAATGTTAAACAAAGAGATGCATTTAAATCAAAGTGTGGACTCAAACCATACAATCAGAAACGAGAAGACAGGGAAAAAGAATGAGTGCTCGCGCCGTCTGACCGACGACCAGATGTGCCAACGCCTGCCTTTAATGAATGAAACCAGAGGAGTGTTAAACACAATCCATATCAACGACGAGCCGATGGACACTGAAGACATTGACAAACAAACATCTGATCAATCGTTTGGTAATAACATTAATTTTAATGAAACTTCAAACACATGTGCAGATAAGGAGTATCAGGACAACAAATAAAATTTGATGATTTTTATTGTAATAATTGTGTTTACATAAAAATCCCGGTTATTTTGAATATTTTTATACACTAAGACATTAGTGTACAGTATTATCAATTACTTTATTATTGTGTAATGTGTGTACAATCAATATAACTTAATTTTGTTTGAAATTATAATGTTTAATATTTAAAAATATGTATCTGATTTAAATGTAATTTATTGTCATATATCGTGTTTANAAATATGTATCTGATTTAAATGTAATTTATTGTCATATATCGTGTTTATAAAACGGTGTCAAATATGATTTATAAATAAATTTTTGCAATTATTTTATTTTGAGTTAATTATCTTGCGTTATTTATTTGAGGTATTATTATCCCGTGAACAAATAATGCTCATGCGCTTTACTATGTTGGACAAAATTGGGCCACTATGCACGATATGCTACTGGAAATATATGGGCCACGATGCACGTTACGTTCATGGACAATAATGGGCCTCGATGCACGATACGGGAGTTTTTTAACGATGCGCAATAAGGGTTAAATGATATAATTTATTAATTATCAGTCAATTATTTTCAAATAATTTTGCAGCAATTAATTTTTGGCACAATTTCTTATCATTTTTAATTAATGATTTCATTGCGTTTTAGTATAACTTTTATTAATATTATTTGATTTATTCATAATTCAAAACTTATCATTATTTAATTGCATTTTGTAATCAATTTTTATTGTTTTTAATGTAAAAAATGATGAGTGAATTCAAGTCGTGATTATGTTTTCAACACATTTTCAAACATTGATTTACTCTAAAAATAATTTTTATTGTGTAATATTACAATAATAATTCAATACTGTATTAACCAATGATTTAATTATCTGTTTTATTATAACTTTTTAACAAATTATTATTTTGATTGTAATTCTTATTAAAAATAAAGATTTTAAACAAATATTTTTAAATTACATTCATAAGAAATTTTGGTCCAATTTCTACACAAATACCATAAATATTTAATTTTTGATAATTTTTATACAGTAATTGAGTATTGAATTCAAGTTTTTATAATGTCTTTAATCACATTTTCAAACAAAGATTTAATGCAAAATTTAGTTAACATTCCTTTTAATCTAAAACCGGATTAATTAATGCCTCCCAAAGCCTATGTCGGGGATAATCCCTATTTAATGCCAAACATTAGTACATTACATGATCTAATAATCTAACCATTGATTAAATTAAAGTATAATTTCCATAAAACTTACATAATTTGGCCTTAATTTATGACTTATAATGTATTAAAAGGCATTAATTGTGGCCATAATAAGAGTGAGAATATATTGCCGGGAATTCCCATTAATTTAAATACAGTATATATAACTGTAAATAACTTCGCGATTAATATTGTTATCGGTTTTGTGTTTAAATTATAATATTATTTACAAAAGTGATGAAAATTAAAATTTCAATTTAATTCTGATTTTTGTATATAATTTGACACAAATTTAATGAAAATATTCCCAAATTTGTGGCAATTATTCCCAAAAACCACAGCAATAGTCAAATAAGCGGCAAAAGTGACAACACGTGACCCACACTTGACTTTGTGCTGACCTTCACTCCAGTCGTGAGCTTTGCGTCAGATATTAATCCACAAATCAGTCCATCAATTGATCCACACTTTAGTCACTCATTCATCGCTTCTAAACACAAGACATTGTCTCCTAATTGAATCCAATCATACAATGAGTGGTAAGTTTTGAAAAATTCAATACAAATTCATTCAGTATTTTAAAAGTTGTGATGAAATCTTTGGTCAGAAATGTCACCAAAACTGTCGAAACAGTTATCACCGGGAGATGTGATAACCGAAGACTTGCCTATCGTTCATGTCTTGTATATGACATCAAAAGACAAATATTGCGACAATTGTTTTAAAAGATCGGATCAATTGAAGAGATGTACGAAATGTCTTCACATGTATTATTGCGGTAAAGACTGTCAGAAGAATGACTGGAAGTATCACAAGAATGAGTGTCCACTTCTTCGGCACGAAATCCCAGTATTGCTTCTGTCCTACAATTGGCTCCGACTTTGGCTCCGATTCTACCTTTCGGTCAAAAAGATCCCAACGTTTGCCACAGAAAAGCATCGATTGGTTGACGGATCGGATGTCAGTCTCAATGACATCAAAGTGGACACCACTTGTGTGGACGCAACTGACGAGCGAAAGCGTGAGTTTGAGTCATCACAACAAGTCTTAACAGAATTAGGCGTTCGTTACGAACCCGAAGAAGCGATACATTGGATGTCATTCCTCTTCAGTTGCGAACCGTTAACGTTCATCAGATGCGGTCATTCTATGTCTGAATCAATAGGTATGGCTCTATACCTACAGCACCGGTCCCTCAGACACAGCTGTCAGCCCAACAGTGCTCTCATTTACAGCGGCAGAGGTTATACAATATATCGACTATTTTTACTACCATTTAATAATTTCCAATCACTCACTGTTAGGACAATCGTTACAATTGCGGGCAATGAGACCGATAGCCGCCGGCGAAGACATGACCATAAGTCGTGTACTCTTTTTAGAGAGTGACCGCACTTACAGACAAAATGTACTCAAACAGTGGTCTATAGTGTGTGAGTGCGACAAATGTGTCTACCATTTGGACCGTGACGTGGATTACGAGATCTTCGAAAGCGGTAATCTCTTTCCAATCCGTGTCTTCACATTCGGTCAACAATTTATGGATCATTTGCGGAAATTATTGTCGGATTTGGATGTGATATTCGGTGACTTTCATCCAATTAAGACAATGTATTTGAATCTAATTGTCCTAAATGTACACAAATGTCCGCAATTACCCGAATCGATGCTCAATGAATTGACGGCCAATTTAGTGAAAGCCATTGATATCACGTGTCCGGCCGACGGACCCGTTAGGGCTCGTTTCAGTCAAACCTTTCATGTCTTGCAAATATCGGCAAATGTTAAGCGTTTGGGAAATTAATAATTTCAATACATGTTTATTATATTTTCACTATTTATTCATTTCTCTTATTGTAAAACATAATTATTGTTTGAATACTGTTTAATATTTATTGGATTAATTGTTTAATTAATTGATTAGTCGACAATTGTTTAGATAAATTTTTAATTACATGATAATTAATCGATGTTTTAGGGAAATTTGCATTTTACTAATTGTCTGCTTTAAATCTCAATACAAAACATTTAATTGTATTTTTAATGCAAAACTTTTCAAATTGTTTTCAAATTGAAAATTTCAATCAAACACTAAATGATAAGTGAATTCAAGTGGCGATTGTTTTTTGTAACACATTTCGCAAACATTCACATATTTCACATTATCTGTAGTTTAATTGACTCATAAAATATTGTATTTAATGTATTCTTCATTAATTTCATTGACTATTTTATTACAACTAATTTGATAAACAAATCATTTTAATTGAAATTTTAAATAAAGAGATTTTTAAAAATATTATTTTTTATTTGAAATTCAAATGAATTGAATGCTTGAAAATGTGCGCCAATTGTGTTAAGCCATAGGTTTGGGACATAAATCATGTGATCATTGTTTGAGTCAACCCTTTGTCTCACTTTTCACACATTAATCCACAGATCAGTCCATAAATTGATTCATAATTTAGTCATTCATACCATTAATCCGATCATTGGTTTCAATAAAGATTAGTTTCACAATTGGATCCAATCATCAAATCTGTAGTAAGTTTTCTGAATTGCATAAAAAACATGTGTTTTTCATTTGTTATGAAATCTATGGCCAGAAATGTCACCAAAACTGTCGAAACCGTTATCACCGGGAGATGTGATAACCGAAGACATGCCTATCATTCATGTATTGGCGGTTGAATTCAAAGACAAATATTGCGATAATTGTCTTAAAAAATCGGATCAAATGAAGAACTGCTCGAAATGTCTTCGCTTTCATTATTGCGGTAAAGAGTGTCAGAAGAATGACTGGAATTATCACAAGAATGAGTGTCCACTCTATCAGAAGAAGTGGTCAACACTTGAAGCGGCAAATATGAGGACCAGATTTCTGCTCCGACTCTACCTTTCGGTGCAAAACATCCCAACGTTTGCCACAGAAAAGCATCGATTGTTTGACGGATCGGAAGTCAGTCTCAATGATATCAAAGACAAAACCATTGATCCAAATGGAGATAAGTCTGTATTGAAATCCATTGCCAAAGTCTTCAACATATGTGGTATTAAATGCGAAGAACTGGAAGAATGGTTCGCTTTAATGAGTGGCCGCTGGTATGACATCCAATGCGGACGACCCGGTCGTGTGGAGACTGTGGCCACCGGTCTATACCTCCAGACATCAACATTGAGACACAACTGTCGGCCCAACAGTTGCTGTATTTCCAGATTCAATGGTTTGTTTAACAATAATTGTTATTTTCAATCACTTATTACAGAATTTATTGATTGATAACCCGATGGACAGGACATACAGTAGAGTTGCGGGCCATGAGATCGATAGCTCCGGGAGAAGAGATTACCATAAGTCGTGTGGATTTGCTTCAAAACAAAGCGGACAGACGGGAGGCGTTGAAAAAGATATCCATAGACTGCGAGTGCGAGAAATGTGTGGACAATACGGACGGACACATAGATTACCGACGTCTACAGCCGGAGTACATTCAGTCTGTGAAGTTTAACGATGCGTACGGAACCGCTTCGGCGGCCGAACTTGAAGATAAGTTTCGGTCAATTTTAACCGATTTGGATGTGGTTTACGGCGATTACCACCCCTTCAGGACACAGGCGTTGGTGATATACACCAGTATTCTGAAGACTTGTCGATCAGCACCCGATTCCATACTTAAAGAGTTTCGGGATATGACCGCCAAAGCGTTGGATGTGACCAATTGTAAGGACACATTTGAATCTAATCATCAAATCAGTGGTAAGTTTTGAAAAATTTATTAAACGACTTGTGTTTCATTTGTTTTGCAATCTATGGTCAGAAATGTCACCAAAACTGTCGAAACCGTTATCACCGGGAGATGTGATAACCGAAGACATGCCTATCATTCATGTTTTGGCGATTGAATTCAAAGACTGGTATTGCGATAATTGTCTTAAAAAATCGGATCAAATGAAGAACTGCTCGAAATGTCTTCGCTTTCATTATTGCTGTGAAGAGTGTCAGAAGAATGACTGGAAGTATCACAAGAATGAGTGTCCACTCTATCAGAAGAAGTGGTCAACACTTGAAGCGGCAAATATGAGGACCAGATTTATGCTCCGACTCTACCTTTCGGTGCAAAACATCCCAACGTTTGCCACAGAAAAGCACCGATTGTTTGACGGATCAGATGTCAGTCTCAATGATCTCAAAGACAAAACCATTGATTCAAATGGAGATAAGTCTGTATTGAAAAAGATTTGCAAAGTTTTCATGAAATGTGGCATTAAGTTCGGACGCGAAGAACTGGAAGAATGGTTGGCTTTAATGAGTGGCCGCTGGTATGACATCCAATGCGGACGACCCGGTTATGTGGAGACTGTGGCCACCGGTCTATACCTTCAGACCTCAACATTGAAACACAGCTGTCGGCCCAACAGTTGCTGTATTTCCAGATTCAATGGTTCGTATCGTTATTTTAAATCATTACACAATTTATTGATTGATAATCCGATGGACAGGACATGTGATTGAGTTGCGGGCCATGAGATCGATAGCTCCGGGAGAAGAGATTACCATAAGTCGTGTGGATTTGATGTTAAATAAAAGTCAAAGACAGAAAGCGTTGAAATCTATATTCATAGACTGCGAGTGCGAGAAATGTGTGGCCATTTCGGATCGAAACGTGAATTACCTGCGCCTACAGCCGGGCTATATTGGGCTCATGTGTCGGTTGGGTTCGGACGCCTTCTTTGAAGCTAGTTTTCGGTCACTTTTGGCCGATTTGGATGTGGTTTACGGCGATTACCACCCGTTGAGATCACAAACTCTCCTATTTTGCTTCAATCTACTACAGGCCTGTCGATCACCACTGGATCCCCTGTACCGCGAAGTGATGCAAATGACGTCCGACGCGTTGCGTGTGACCAGTGGTCAGAGCTGTCCATTTCAGGACCATTTCATGCGTTGTATTGTGCAGTCCATGAGAATTGTATCGCCCAAAGACTACAACGATTTGCATGGATTACCCAATAGTAGTGATGACCACTGGATTCACTTGCAGTGCGGCTGCAGTTATCGCAAATCATCCAATGTTTAATTGTATTTGAATTGTTTGTTTCGCTATTCATAATCAGATAATTATAATTTTGTGTGCATTTAGTAATTATTTAAATTGAATCACAGTTAGAAATATAATCACATAATCGATCACTACTTTTAGTATTACAGAAAATGTGTTTTAATGATAAAACAAATCAATCAAAACCTGTCACACAATGAGTTAAATGAAAATCAGAACATTTATTGATTGTTTAATTATATAAAAACTAAATCAATGATTATATAACAAATTATTTATCAAAACTATTGGTCATTTGAAACTGTTTTTGCGATTTCATAATTCATATATTTTAATCAAACACTTGTTTTGAGTGATTTTCATGCAATTTGTCTCTGATTTTTGTAATCCAAATGAAAGTAAATTTAATAAAACACTGTATTTAATGTCTTATTCATTGAATATTGATTGTAACTATAATTATATGTTTTATTACAACTAATTTCATAAATAAATCATTTTAATTGCAATTTTAATAAACAAAAAAACTTTCAAAAAATATTATTCTCGTTTGAATGGTTCAAAATGTGCGCCAATTGTGTTAAGCCATAGGTTTTAGGCAAAAATCATGGGATTATTGTTTTCACTGAAAGCCTTTCAGTCAACCCTTTGTCTCAATTTGTTTCAGCCATTAATCCACAGATCAGTCCATAAACTGAGAGACACTTTACGGACAACTCTTTCATACCATTAGTCCATCGCTTCCAACACAAGACTTCGTCTCATAATTGGATCAAATCTGTGGTAAGTTTAGCAAAAGTTGTTAAAAACACGTGTTTTTCATTTGTTATGAAATCTATGGCCAGAAATGTCACCAAAACTGTCGAAACCGTTATCACCGGGAGATGTGATAACCGAAGACATGCCTATCATTCATGTTTTGGCGGTTGAATTCAAAGACAAATATTGCGATAATTGTGTCCAACGATCGGATCAATTGAAGAGATGCGCGAAATGTCGTCAAATGTATTATTGCGGTAAAGAGTGTCAGAAGAATGACTGGAAGTATCACAAGAATGAGTGTCCACTCTATCACCTCCACTGGTCATCGCTGAAGGGAAGTGAAACGAGATTTTTTCTCCGATACTACCTTTCGGTGCAAAACATCCCAACGTTTGCCACAGAAAAGCACCGATTGTTTGACGGATCGGAAGTCAGTCTCAATGATATCAAAGACAACGCCATTGATTCCAATGGAGATATTGAAGTATTTGAGATGCTTTGCGCTTTACTGACGCGAATGGGTGTCGAGTATATACGTGAAGATCTCAAACAATATTCACGATTTCATTTGCATTTATATCCCCTCAAATGCGGTGCCGCCGATTCTGTGGCCACAGTAGCCATCTGTCTATACCTCGAGTATACAACTCTGAGCCACAGCTGTCGGCCCAACAGTTGCTGTATTTCACGATTCAATGGTTTGTAATATAGTCTCTCTCTCTCTCTCTCTCTCTCTCTCTTCTCTCTCTCTCTCTCGTATTGTAATCATTATTAAGAATAATTTATGACAAATAATTGCTTGTAATTACATATTAGATATAAAGTGGAAATACAAACTAACAATTGATCACTGATTTGAATAATTAATGATAAAAATAAATCAATCAAAATCTGCTCAAATCACACAATGAGCTAAATATAGATCAAAACATTTATTTGCATTTATTGTATTACTGTATATTAAAATCCAAATTAATCATTATTTAATATAATTTGTTTATCAAAACTATCGGTACTTAATTTGAAATTGTTTTTAAGATTTATAAATCTTTCATAATGTTTTCCCCTTTGTGTGTGATTTTTATGTTATTTGGTTTTAATTTTAATAATTCAAATAAAAATAAATGTTTAAAAGCTTTATATATTTTGATTAAATTATTTATCGTTTTATCGCAATTATATTACATTTATTTCACTGTTAAACGTGTTGTAAGAACAGTGAATTTAATCAACAATTTGTTCACAATATCGATATTAATTAAACAAATTCTGATTCTCATTAGTTTTGTTTGTTTTCAATTGAAATTCTCGAAAATCAAGAATATTCTGCACGAATTGGACCTCAATGTTAGCAATCGTGGTAAACGCAAACTAAAAATATTAAGCATCGCGCTATCATTTACTTGGATTATGATAATAACGCTAAACATATTGTCGGTAATTGTTGTGGACAAACATTATTACATTGGTTTCAACATATTGTGGAAGTTTGCGCTCTTTGGTTGGATAATAGCTATACTTATGTTATTAATGCACATCACATACGCTGTACATCTCATGGAAAGGGGTGTCTATCGGCAAAACGGCCATGAAATGATCAAAATATACAAAAATCATTTGAATATTAATCGTATTAAAGAGTTAATAAACAATATTTTGGGAGTTTTTCCGTTTGTGATTTTCAGCCAGATTTTTGTGACCACATGTTTACGGCTGACGAACGTTACGCTTGAGAGGCACCCGAGTGAACACAAGTTTGCACTCGTTTGGCAGGGAATGGCCGAGTATTTGCAGATTTGTGTTGTGTCTATCGTATACGTGCTGTTTGTAGACTATTTCCTGACCCGTCGGCCGACTGTCCACGTCTTGTATCAACGTTTGATCTTAACGTATGGTATTTCAAACGTACGGCAATTGGAAGCACAGAATATTCTGTTACAACAATTGCTTTACACTAAAACTACAATTAAATTTAATGCTTTTAATGTATTTATAATTAATAAGCGATTTTTGTTTAGATTCTTGTCATCTGTTTTCTCATTTACTGTTATGTTAATACAATTATTGCAAACAATTTTTACTGACTTTTAATTAAATTAAATATTTATTTGCTATAATTTGATGTAGACTTTAAGATTTATGTACATTTAATAAATTAATAAATAAATAGAATAAAATTTTGATTATGATTAAAGTATTTTTATTAGAGATACTAAAAAAATCATTTTTAGTTATAATAAATATAATTATAATAATGAATTGCATTTTAAGTTCTATTAAGTTCGAAGAATAATATATTTTGTAATCAATTCAGAAATTACAACAAATGGTGCGATAATTAAACCGGAGATTAAAAGCGAGAAAACGCCCCTCAAGTCAGTCATGGATACGGAAGGGATATCTGGTCTGGTCTTCGGTTGGTCTGTGATGTCGGCCTCATATCCATTGGGTTTCAAATTAAATACAAAATTAAAACAATAAAAATATTGCAAAGTTTGGCAAAAAACAATTACATAAATAAATAAAAAGATTGTTTAACCATTAATCGGCATTCTTGAGAGAATAATCTCGTAGTGAGTTTAAAACTTTTGGCTAAAATCAGCGGTTAGTGACAGTGTTAAAAAATTTCAGCT